TATCGGAGCCTGAGCATGGATGTTACTAATGTGTCAATGTGTTTTGACATCCTCAATATGTATGTAGTCATTCCCTTTTATTAATACTGCACACTAACCCTGGACAGAACACTGTTGTAAACCAAATTATTAACTTTTTTTTAACACGAACTTTTTTCGCACCGTATGTAGCCACCTGTGACAAATATGAAATATATTGCAACAGAAATTCTTTAAATATACAATTTATAAAAACAAAAAACGTTGACCTTCAATCTGATAAGAGCTCCAAGGTTACCCAGACTAAACACAGAAAAAAACAGTTGATTTCTGTTTCAGACTGTTTTTTTGCCCACAAACGACAGACGTTGTTGGGTTTGGTTTATGCGGTGTCATTAAATAGCCTGGCTTTTTGGCATTTTTATCGACTGACATGACAATACGATCGCCTCTATTTTAGCTGAAACATATTAATATGTATGGATGTGTGTTGAACGTCTTTCGCACCGTACGTAGCTAACCCTGCAAATCGGAGGTGTGGTGGAAGGACAACAAACTATACACAAAAATAAGTTTAAAAGAAAAGAGTTTTCAATCTACAGAAATGAGCTTTCAATGAAGTCCACCGAACTGTTTACCAAAGAAAATTGCCTGCCTCTCAAAATGATTGAGAGCATGTACTGTTGTGAAATGTTCAGCTTCTGAGATGCAACACATTTGGCATTCTGCACTTTGGAGCTTGCTATGTGTAACACTAACACGGTTTTAAAATGTGCTTATATTTTTTTAGTCGAAATATTTCGCTTATAAAATTCGGCACGTTACATTTCAATGAACATGCGCACGCACACGGCGAAAGTAAACATGGTATTCTGAATACGTTCTGATATTTTCATCATAAAAATATCTATTTTGTACCGGTCACAATTTTTATTTCATAACAACACACGGTATTTTGGATTCTGTCGTGTTCCATTTTGACTCACAATGCATGAATCATGATGTGGGGGGGGGGGGATTTAAAATAAATAAGTTTCGTGGTCGCATTGGACAAGGGTTTACGGAAAAGTCTGCAGTTCACAGGAAACCACCGCCACCAACTTGACCCTTATCAAACAGTTCTCACACTCAATTGATCGTCCAGCAATACATGTTAAACTCCTATTTACAGAGCGCAGTTATGTCTCTTTCTTTAAAAAAAAAAGCACACCACCGCTGCTGTGTTATTACTTTAAAAATGTGGCTTCCAATTAACGTGATATTTAAAGATCTGTTGTTGACAAAAACCCCTCAACAATTAAATAACACAATATGCTTTTAATTGAACACAGCTAGACACTTATATCTGTTTACCATAAAAACAGCAGGGCATAGTTAATAGTATAATGGACCAATTTAGCTGAATGCGTTAGGAATGTCAAATGGAGGAGTGTCGTGTTTTTGGCTGAGTGCCATTACAACAGGCGTAAATCGTCTGAACTAAAATCATCAAGTCTCACATTTTGCGTAAGACTTGTCCATTTGTAGGCTGTATCATACTGTATTGGTGGCACCATTTGCCCTCTCCCAGCTTGTGAGCTGCTAACCTGGCAAATTGCCAGTTTCCACAAAGATATAGTGTCAGAGCGCCCACTCCTTTTCTTATGTGTAGGTGGAATGTGATTGGACCGATATTCATTCCGAATTAATTAACCATTACCATTCTCCTTTCTTGTGACTCTTAAAGATAGGGCAATGCAAAGAATGAACCGCAGTATGCTCTTCTTGATATTTCTCTTGTGAAACTCTCATTGATATTTCTCCCTTGACAGGGCAAGACTGAGTCGCCAACTGTTCAAGGAAAGCGATCGGGTAGGCATTTTGAGTTGTCCAGAATCCGTTTTTTTATTTTGGTGAATGTCGTGAGCTTGAGTTGTTGCGAGGGTCAGGTGATCCCATTACATACAACAGAAAGTACTATACGGAATATGAATAAAACGCAAATTCCTATACACGTGATTCGATGCGTGACGTAATATTAAAGTCACGTTTCGGGCGCAACACAAGCGTACTTGCGCCCGAAACGTCGTGATTTAATTTATTTAAATTTTTGTTACCTACGTGACTTTACCGAAAAAAACTAAGAGTATGAATCCTTGCAGTCACGAAAACTTCAAATCTAGAATTAATACGTTGATTAAAGTGTAGCACAGGCGTATTTTTCAACTTACGTTGACTTACGTTGAAAAATAGAGAAAATGAACTGGTTTGTGTTCTTTTAAATTAAATCACGAATAATTAATGTAATTGAAATGCAGCAACGTGGTATCCTTGCGTTTTGACGTCACTGCAGAACAATAAAACCAACGTAATTTGTAACGCGCTACGATATTTCACAGACATGAATGACCGGTAACTTTAATAGCACGGAGCCCATCAATGCAGTGCCTCTTGAAAGCCACGAGACATCGGAGTGGCCTTTTGGAGTGTCTCTCCAACGTGGGCGTAGAGATGGAATGCTGCTGCTGCTGTTGGGAATGGGTGGCAGAGGGAAGACGACGACGATGTACGTTGAACTTCTTTCGCACCGTACGTAGCCAAACGCGCAAATAGAGAGGTGATGGTTGTGTTCCAGACGGAGGGGGGGGGGCTGCTACGGGAGACACGACGCCTAGCAGTGACGGTGGTCCTGCTCCTTTGTGTCGAGAGCAGGAGGATTGAGGAGGTTGTGAGTCGGGCTGCTGTGATGAGTTCGACCGACAGCTCCCACTCTCAAGAATGCAATCGTCACAAACGACGGCTCTGAGGACAACGTATTAGCTGAGCATTTACCAAATACACACAATACACAATTATCAGCTCGTGGGTGAAAATGTGACACAGCTTAAGTGAAGTTAATCAGGGTGCTTTAGAAACGGACCAAATGGTGTCTCCATTTTATGGCAGCTGCATTAAAATAATTTGTATGTTAAATCTGAAAAAAAAATTGTTTCGCAAATTTTTAAATTGCCAATGCTAAGCTTTCAAAAGGGGGAAATACATTCTCAACCGCATCACACTGTATTCTCAGAATTGTAGTTGCGGTTGGCTGATATGTAGCAATGTTAAACATTTTAACACTTATGATCACACTTAATTCCATTACTGTTCTTTGCTAATAGCATACATGTTATTATGTTTAAATAAGTAATCATTCTGTTAAATAACTGACCAATGCTGTACATTTCTCATTGTGAAACATTGACACTCACAATCAGCACTTGCGTGGTCATAACTTACTGTCATAAAGCAAACAGAACTGAACATTTTCCATTGAAAGGTTATGTTGACTGCTAAAGTTCATTTTCCAGCGTCTACCCTTTAGAAGTGGAAGTCAACTTATAGTATAACATTAACTTCGGATTAAATAAAATTGCACATTTGAAAGGAGCCAATTCTCTTCACAAACTGTTAAGAAGTTATCATTCTCTACACAATCTGTAATGACATTATGGCCATGGATATTGTTGCATGACAAATGACAACATGGGACAAGTCTTCTCGTTACAATGTGCAGTAAAGGCTAAAATCCCACCAGTCAGTTGTGAAGAAAAGTGTGTTCTCCATGAAGCTTATTCCTCTATTTGTCATCTTGTTGCCAGTATGACATTGGTGTTTGATAGGTGTATTAAGGATATGGCCTTGAAATATGTCACCACTTGCATATTTATGTTATGTGAGTGGCAGTATTTGGCTATGAATGGCTTAGTACCAGCCATTTCCATCATACTGCCAAATGGAACTGAGCTGGATTATGCTGTGAGATGTGCTGTAGTATAATGTGGAGCACTGGATTTATCAGGATACACGTTTGAGTTTAACAACCACACCGAAGGTCAGTCTGCTCTGAAAGGTAATGCGCGTCCTTCACACCGATCAGCAGATTGAGAGTGGTTTAAGCCATGGGAAACCTTGGACACAGAAGCAAGGATTCCATGAAATTAAATTAAGGAATTGAAAACCTTGAATTCAGGGACAACAGCGCATGTCGGAAAGACATGAAGTGCGCACTTATGCATCGAAGCATTGTATTGCATAGGGATGCGTTTCGTACAGTAAAATTGCCGAATCAATAAAATCTTGTGTACTTTTTTTTTACATGCTAAACTGCCCATGGGGTCATATGAAAGTTAGTTGTGTGGGTGGTCCGTGGGGTTTAATGGACCATGTCATATCCTAAGTCAGCTTAAGTCCCAGAGTGAATAACCATGGATTATTCGAAAACATTTGCCAAAACGTTTGTAGCATACTGTTTCACTTACACATTGCTATTAAATATTGTACGTCTGTATCTGTTTAGGAAAAGCAATTGGCATTGAGAAATTGTTGTTAGATAAATCTGTATTATTTGGCCATTTAAATCGATCACCTGCAGTTAGTAACACTATTCGTGCTGAGTAATCTTGCTATTAAAGGGTAATTTTATTTTCCAACAATCACTTCATGAGCATTTGCTTATTCAGGCTTATCTAGAATACTTATACTGGAGATCACGTGTCTGATGTTAAACGGGCCACGTTTGTGCAACCAATAATTGTACCCATCTCGTAATTCCTTTGGCGCGATATTAAAGTAATGGGTGGTGTAAAATCAGTGTGATTGCGCTGTCCTTTTAAGCACAATCCATGTAAATATCACTCACATTTTAACACTTGCGTTGTATTACAATAAATATATCAGTATAACATCACTACAACGTCGCATATCCGACTCACTGAGGGATTGAGGTATACAGACATGTACGAAACGGTAGCATGTGTGAACGTCTGAAAAAACTGGTAGTTAGAGATGAGTATTGCTAGCTTTTTTGTTACACAGCACTGTATATGTGAAAAAGTAATGTAAAACGAGGCAGAAAATAACACTTTAAATATCAGTCTCTATATGATATTTAGCAAATGTCGTGCATTGAACCAACGTATGGAAACACGCGCGCGCTGTACATACGGACGCAACTTCCTGTGGCTGCTTTCGTGGTTTTTTGCTATAAATCGCTACTCCGCGGAAGAACGCTCAATATTCGCACGTGGATGCTCGCCTGTTTAAGCTGCACCGCTCCACATTCTTCTTTTAACCGAACGTTCTTGGGTCTTATATTTGCGGGTTACCCACTCAAGTAAAAAAAAGCAGATTGAAGCTTACAAGGTAAGTGCTTGCCACATGGACATTGTAACGAACACACGTGTGCGGTCTCAAACAGGGGTGGATCGGACGCGTTAAGAAGGTGATGCGGTGGTCGGTGTCCTGCACTATGGACGCGGTTTGATTCCTGCAGGCCACAGTTATAACAACAGCAGCAGCAGCTTGTGTTGAGCGATATCTGAGTGTTGGTCCTGGGTTCCCCTCCCGTTTCACCACTGACCAGCAACGTGCTGAAGCGTGGTCATACAACACGCATGACCGAAAGGTCTGGGGAGGTCTTCATTCGTCCAGCAGTGGATTGACAGTGGGCTGAACATTATTTCCACCCTATTAATCGAATAAAAAAAACAAGCATTTGTAAAATGCTGAAATTGTTATTAGAGTAGTGTAATTTAATTGGCGTTTGTTGGAATGTTTTTTTTGTTTACAACTATGAATACATCATGGGAAATTAGGTCCCATGATGTAGATGCTCACCCCGAGCCCTCATTACTCTGATAATGCGTGTCTTTGTGATGCACGCCTTTTGGGGTAAAGGTGACGACATGCCAAGGGGTAAGGTAAAGGGTAGGGTAAAGGTAGCGCAGAAGAATTACCCGGTAGGATAAAGGTAGCGCGAAGTATTACCCAGTAAATACCATGTTTAGCACTCGCTAAAAGCTCCGTGGCGCAGTCCATGGCCTCCATTTAAAATTGGAATCATCGAGAGTATTCTATATGAATAAAGCACTCTACCTAGCATTTACCTGTTATAAACCGTTTTCATGTGTAGTACCCCAGTAATTACCCTGTAATCGGGTAATGTGTATGGGCTAAGGGTAAAAGGTAGGGAGGGTAAAGGTGGGCTCGTTGCTTTTGACCTTTTACCTTACCTTGCTAAAGGGTCAAAGGTAAGGGTAGAGTGATTGTATTGTGGTAAGGTAAAAGGTAGGGTAAAGGTATGCTCGTTTTTACCTTTTACCTTACCTTGCAGGTACTGTAGTCACGGTGATGATTGTTGCTGTTGTGGTCGCATACCGTGTCAACCCATACAGTTTATCCATATTCTTGGGCAGGGAAATTGAGTTTTGCAGGTCGATTCGGCGTACAGCCGTTTGAAAACGGGCAACATAAATTTGTCTATTTGTTTGTGTTTCTCCCTTGTGATGGGATTTTGCAGGATGAACGTTGAGGTTTATAAGGGGCACGGGGTGACCAATAGGGTCTGAATTGGTCTGTAATAAGATAGGCACTGATAACGGGTTGACATCTATGAGGTAGTCCAGGTTGATGTCATGCATTGCTTCAGTGCTTCTCGCCCATATTTTCATTCCATGCCTCTCACTTTGCAACTTCCTCGATATTCGCGACAAGCCGAATAACAAAATCCCAACTGCGCATAACGCGACCGAGAGGGGAGTTGAGGGGCGCCTGGTGGTTTGGGGGCATTGATGGCTGTCTTCCCTACTTGCGCTATGATCGGATAGAGAGGGGAGGTTTGGGGGGGGGGGGGACTGGATCGACCACTGAACGGCACGGAGCGTTCGTCTGTTGATCTTTCCATGCCTATATTTCTGAAAATACTGAGGCACACCTGGTAAAGACCCACGTGTTTTTTTGCTTGCTGTTGTTATTTGTTGTCGTGTTGGTGGCTATTGCCGATTGCCGCATTGTTGTTGTGGCGGTTTTGTAGTAGTTGCCACTGCTTTGATTGTGGTTCCATTTGTGGCCGCAGTTAATTGTTGTGGCCGTGGTTGCTGTTTTTGTAAATTGTTGTCGTCGTCTTGTGGTTGTCGTCATACAAGTTGGAATTGATCACAGAATGGTGTTTCCTCACGAGAGTTATTTGTATAAAGATTGGCAAGAAATTTACGGAACTGTAATTATCAAAATAATAATAATAATGTATAACTGTTTCTCAGTCCACTGCTTGATCGTCTTCATCATACTTTATTGCACTGATCAGTGTGGGTTGGTGATAGATGGGGCATGTGACCCAGGACCTGTCCATATATCACCCATCACGGATGTTAGCCATGGCTGGAAATCAAACGCAGGTCACTAAGATTGTAGCACAGTGCACGAACCAAACCATGTTCCAGGATATATTTTATTCAGGATAAAAATAAGGTAAATGAGTCATCATAATCGTTTTAACTCCAATTCTACAATGCTATATCGTGCAAAGTACTGCTTTTATTTGCCCACTCTTATCACGACCATATTTCACTTGCTATCAGTGCCTGGATTTTCCTAGTAGCAAAAGTAGCTACATATGCTACGGTTCAGCGATTCTGCACTTGCTCTATTCCGATAGTACTATACTGCCTTCAACCTTTATGAACAACTTTACTATGCAATTAAAACATTTGTGTTTTAATATTTACGTTTTTTTATTTAGGGCCCCTTTATAACATATGTCGTGACATCGGGGATGCCACTGTATGTTGCCGGCCCAGAAGGGCCGTGGCGTGCGATGCACCGTCATCGCGTACACCCTGTGGCGGGTGTAGTACCAGCCCTAGCGGGGCTTGGTGAGCGCTGGGATAGCGCGGGCACCCCGCATGGCGTGTAGTGCGGGCTCCCACGAGGGGGAGCGGGAGAGTGTCAGCCCAAGGACAGGGTTGCCCCGGGCCATGCCACTCTGGTTGACCCTGCAGACACGTGATCTGGAGTGTCCACAGAGAGGCCCCCAAATGGGGGAACTCGGAGGTGATCACGTGTCCGGGGAGAGCTCTCGAGAGGGATCGAGGGGGAGCTAGAAGGCTCCAGAATGTGGGCGGGGCCAGGGGCGGAGCGGCCCCGACCCGTGGGGGGATATAAGGCGGGTCCCTGAGAGGGACGGGGAGAGCTACATTCTACAAGCTGGAAGCTCTACGTCTCAAGCTGGCAGCTCTACGTCCTACGAGGCAAACACGTGATCGCGGACCCGAGTGAGGGCCCGACCCTTCGTAGCAGTAACTCCTCTGTATATTGTAGTTAGCTGGGTGGTCACCACCTTAGGCTGTATTTGGTGAAGGGGCAGTTACCCCTTTGTTTTACGTGTTACAAATAAATGTGTTGCCTCTCAAAGGAATAACGTCTGTGACTCAGTTGGACTCTCGACACATATGCTACAGGCCCCGCACTAGCTTAATACGCCACTGCCTGTTATACTTGGCCAGCTGCTTGTTGAGAAATGTTGCACGTGAGTGCTCGGACACACACGGAGTTGGACACCGCAAATTCTGCACACACAGTTCAGCAATCTCTATGTTTTACTATCTCTTTACGCGCAGCGTGCTGTCCTGGAAGGTGATTGCTTCGTGATACAACTACCCCACCTCTGTGCCACTGGAATACAGGTGCGTACCACCAAAGACAAATATCGATCGTTTATAGCCTGTAACAGACTGTTGGGGCTAGTGCTGTTAATGAGTACCTGTGAAGGCGGCACGGAATACGAGGGGGTGGGTGGCCAACACCACGCCCACCCGTCGTTGTCTCCCTAGTGGCGATGTTTACACATCGCACTGGGTAGTAATTTGAGGCTGAGTCGACCTAGGGGAGGCCCAGGACCGGTTGAGATAATTGTCACTGGTGTTGGCCGTGAGCAGGAATCGAACCTGGGTCGCCAGGTTCGTAGCGCAGCGCGCTAATCGCTACACTACCGCTCTCCACAAACAACCACCACCACCACCATGCACAATCATTGTACAGGGACTTCTCTACTTACGAACATTTGACTTATGAACTTTCAGAGATACGAACAAATCTGGTCTGTATGTCCAGTTGCCTGTTCGGACCGAGAGTCATAAGTTCAACTCTCGAAAGTTCAACTGGCGGTAGTGGCATCTACATTTGCAGAACGTGAAGAACCAGTAGCATCTAGTGTACATGCCATAACAACGTTTGGAATCGATGCGAGTAAAGTTGGAATTACGAACAAATCGACTTACGAACAGACCTCTGGAACCTAACTCGTTCGTAAGTAGAGGAGTCCCTGTATACATGTTGCGTGCTTTGAAGAAGGACCATTGCCTGGAAAGAAACATCGGTGTTGACGATTAAAGTTGATGAGTATTTGTGTTTGTGAAGCACTGCCAATGCAGTATCGTCAAAATACGTAATTGTTAACATTTTCTCATCCTGGTATGCAGTAATAATAATATTGATACAATCTATTTAACAGAGAATGCCTCACTGAGTCTCAAGACTCTTTTCCAGGTAGAGTCCTGCAATGGGATATTTGTTCAATATCTGTGAAAAGAGTGTTTTATATGCGGGAGAAAAACTCGCATACTCGAGAGAACCCCAGCGATATGAGGGCAGCACACTCACACGCACGCACAGGCAGATTCCACAATCATTTGCTCGTCCAGTACTGCCAACTCCGAGCCACCTCGCAGCACAGGAGCGTTGTGAGTCTCACAAATCTGTGTGATCCACCGAGCTTGCCTCATCGATACACCCGACTCAAGAAACGGGTTGTTAGTCGTCGTTCTTGACAATGATTCAATACTCCTCGCAACCTCTCGACAAAAAGAGCAATGACGGCCTGCACTCTGTCTCACGTTTCACAGAGGCATGTCGCAGTTTCCTCCCCCCATCACCATTTTACGAATGGTCACAATTTGGCAGTCACGAATTGATCAAAGTATCATTTGTTATTTACTGGGGTGCGTGAAGTGGCTATCGCTGCGGCATGCTTTAATGTGAACCAATCACATACAACTTACCATTACTTACATCTTTATATCATGACTTGTATCCTTTTTCTTGGTTCTTTCGGTAAAGTCACGTAGAAGGGAAGTAATAAAATAATAAAAATAAAACATAATAAAATAATTCTCACGACGTTTCGGCTACAACGCAAGCAGCCGTCTTCAGGTGAAGAATGAGACACTGCCAAGCTTGGAGCTTATATATAAGCTGGGTTGGATGTGGAAGAAGAGCGCCTTAACAAAAGAATGTGCATATCAAGAGGAATTTGTTAAGGCGCTCTTCTTCCACATCCAACCCAGCTTATATATAAGCTCCAAGCTTGGCAGTGTCTCATTCTTCACCTGAAGACGGCTGCTTGCGTTGTAGCCGAAACGTCGTGAGAATTATTTTATTATGTTTTATTTTTATTATTTTATTACTTCCCTTCTACGTGACTTTACCGAAAGAACCTAGAAGATGAATCCCTGCAGTCACGAAAGCTTTAAATCGAAATTTGTATCCTTTTGTTCGTTCACTGCTGGATGAAGGCCTCCCCTTGCCAGTATTTGACCATACTTCACCATGCTGGGCAGTGCTGGTTGATGAAGGTGGGGGGAAGGCAGGACCAGTTCAAGTATCACTCGCCACTGATGTTAACCGTAGCCGGGAATCGAAATCAGGCCGCCTGGTTTATCGTGGAGTGAACTAGCCACTGCTCTACCGCTCTACCCATCCAACACGACGAATATAAAATACTAACATTTTACACACACACATTTTTTTTAACGCTTGCATTGTGAATGTAAGAATCCATTTAAAATCAATTCACGCATCGTCGCATGCCAAGATTGCCGCGTTGCATGCTTGAACAGACATTGTCTCTTTACACAATGCTAACACGTGCTTTAAATGTGACTTGTTTTAACAGGCGCACCTCTAAGGAATATGCATCAAATGTACGCAGTTGCCATTTTTTGGGGCGTTTGGCTTCATGTGACTGCAAGCACCACGAATGTGAGTGTGAAGAAGAACGCAACACCCACGACTTTCGTCAATGACCAACATCAACACGTGCAGCCGGTGATGAACAAGGACGGCCAGGTTGATGCTAGAAATATTCATTTTAGCAACCAGACATCTTTGACCAAATTAAAAATACATTCTATGACTGAGGGTCCTAACAATGACGACCCCACTGAAGCAAACTATGAATACATTACCGACAATACTTCTGAGGAAGAAACAATAGGTCACAAAAAAGACAAACGACAGGTCACAACTGCTACGATAAATTCTACAATTGAGGGTCCTAACAATGACCTGGCCACTGAAGCAAACAATGAATACATTAACGGCATTGGCGACCATGATATTACTTCTCAGGAAGAAACAATAGGTCACAAAAAATACAAACAACAGGTCACAACTGCAACGATAAATGTGGAAAAATGTAATGTTCTATGTGGTAAAAAGACGTACGCGATCGTCATACTTGTGTTGACCTTCATATGCATTGCATTCATGGTGTCGACAATCATCTTGGGCTGCAAGGTGGCTCTCTCAGCCGACACGAAACACGGCGAAGTGCAACAAGATCATCTCATCTGTATCTCTGCCATGACCGGAGAGACCCAACCGTTTGCTTTTGACCTTGTTACAGGTGCAGCTCTGCCAGAGCAGAGTGGGTCTATGCATCGTATGAGCTTGATTAATACGCGTGCACTGGTGTGAGCTTCAGTCAGCGGTGGTGAACATTTTTTTTCGCTGGGGGCCGAATACAATGGGCTTTTTTCCACCTTGTACAAAGAGGCCCTTGCAGTAACAGACGCGAATGAGCGTGCTAAATCTATAAAAAGTTTTTTATTTCGATTTAAAGCTTTCTTGACTGCAGGGATTCATCTTCTTGGTTTTTTCGGTAAAGTCACGTAGAATGGAAATAATAAAATAATAACAATATAATAATAATACAAGAATAAAAGAATAATACAAAAATAATATTGTTAAATTTTTATTATTTTATTATTTCCATTCTATAAACAGTGTTTGACATGTCGAAAAGATTACCCCCAAGTCCCAATTTGATGCCGCTAAGATGCTTGCAGTGACGGATAAAGATCATTTTAGGGCTGTTTTAAAATGGTTGGCCTCGTGTGGTTGTGGACTGTAGCAAATGAAGCCGTAGGCAGGAGGTTGCCTACTCCTGGCTTAAGACAACTTTTGACATTTTGGAAATGGTGTGTAATGCAGGAATGTCGCGGTTAATTTCCAAATTACTGTAAAGAATTCCAACATAAAATCGATACTGAATGTATTATGCTCGTTTATACTGTGCATGGAAAACAAACCAATGATACTGTAAACATACTTTTTTTACATTGTAAAGTGTAAAGAAATAACATGTTTCCTCAAAAACCTTTGGATTAACTTGACATCACATTGGGACATTTTAATTCATGTGAAAAACCAGGGCTTAACTTATTATGGAATCTCTTTAGAGGCCCCCTAAACCCCCAACTCACCAGACCCATCTCCCGAAATTCCCACCAGCATTGGGCAGGGAGGTGGTGTGGAGGAAGGGGGCAGAGCAATCATTTCCAGAGCTCAGCCCCGGACATATCCGGTTGAAATGATTGCCCATATACAGCTATAAATGCGCAGTTTTTGTTTTGCAAAAGCACCCTACTATTTAAAATCCCTTTATGTGTGATTTGGGGTTGCTTGTTTTCGGTATTCGATCTGGGGGGAAATGTTGTCACCTGAGAGCTACACAACGTTGAAGTACAACATTATGCTTTGTTTTCAGAAACAAATGTGGATTTTTATGCAATAAAACCAGTTTAATCTCTGTATTTTTTAAAAGTGTTTAAAGGTTTGTTTTAGGAAAACATGTTTTTATTGTAAATTTGAAAAAATTATGTGTAAAATCAAAACTCTGTTCCACTGTGTTTAAACGATCCAATATCCAAATCGGTGTTGTTTCGAAGTGAATTGCTTATATTGCTTTAATTTATGCAAATTATTTTATATCGAAACATTTCCATTGATATTTTATTGTCAAGTCAAACATTTAGTGGTTATCTTGCTCATATGATAATGAATGGTGCTGCTCATCTCCCGTCTACAGCATTGAGCCAGTGGTGAAAATTCTGCATTCATATCGCAGATGGCAAGGTTATTCATAGGGTAATCACTGGCGCCTTTCCCACAACAAAGTGGTACTAATTTTATCGACCTCGGAAGGATTGTGGGTTGAGTCAACCTCCAACTTGCAAACCTTCCGATTGTGAGCTGCTCACTCTACCACTGCACTACCTGGCCGCTTTGCTTCGTTGCAGCCTCTTTTCCAAAAACATCGATGTACATATAAGCTCCGTACAGTATCAATAAAGTGTTTGCTTGTATGTATGCACGTGTTCTAATGCTTATACGGTACAATATTTTCGTGGATGATGTTGCCACATTGAACCTAATGCCATACGTTTTTCAGTAAAGTTAATTGAAATACAAAATATTTTAAGATGAACTTTTATGAATGGGGCAAAATATTATTCGCCTCCTGTAAACATCGTATTTAATTTTAAAAAATACCTTTTGAATTCAACAACATATGTTATACTTTTTAATACGATTAACAAGAAATATGTGATGTGTCACGTTGAAAGCTGCTTTAAAATGTGCTAAATTAGCATTGCTGCTTAAAGGTTGTTATTCGCTATGTTACAAAGTATGTTCTTTAATAAAGTTTTATATCCATATTATCTTGTTCAATTTCTGATAAACCAGCCACAAGTCTTAACAGTATTTACCAAAGTATGTACTGGCTACACGTGTACACTTAATAGCTTCGGATATCCACCACATTAAGATACAATCTCTTGATTCACGTATAGCAGGCATCCTCAACTATATTTTCCAGCAGATAACATAAAATTAGCGTGTGTGGGCAAGCCTCGTGAGGTCACATGCCGAATATACACATGCAATGAAGTCACATGGGCGTCTCGCTCATGTTTATCTCGTGCCTTGAGCTTCCCCATCTCTTTCTGTTGACGACCAGGACATAATGGGGAGAATAATATCTCGCATTCCTGCCAGAGGAGATGGTTACTTGTAAATGTTGTGATCTTGAGTGGTGTATTATTGCACAACTTATAACAACCGCGACTTTCATTTTTTTTTATAAATTACAGATTTCCCAGCTTAGGACAGGTTCATATTCTTAGGTTTTTTCGGTAAAGTCACGTAGGTAAAAACATTAAAAAGTAATATAAAATAAAAAATAAAAATCACGACGTTTCGGAGGCAACACAAGCTTCCGTCTTCAGGTGGTACCGTCACAGCCACGACAGCTGTATCAAGTAAATGAGAGATTGCAGGAGTTACCACTGCGTTTATATAATGGTTGGAGAAGGTGGTGGGGCAAGGGCCACATACTTATTATTAATATGGTAAGGTGAGGCTTGAGACTAAGAATATACTGAGCCTTTGTTATGGAGAGGTGCGGTTTGTGACTCAACCTGTAACAAGAAGACCACCACTAAACATGGTAAAACAGTAATGGTTGTCTGTCAAATTAGGACAGGTTCCTCAAAACGAGGACAATCCCGGGGAAACCTGGACGGATGGCAACCGTAAGCTGTTGTTTATCTCCCTGTCATCTCGTTAATCTCTTGATGTGTTGGCGTACCACGACTCTCAGCGGGCTATAGCCCCCCCCCCCCCCCCGGGGGGGGGAGGGTCACTCCAAGAGTCGTTGTGGTCCACGTCTGGCCCGCGGGCTGCCAGTTGAAGACGCCCGATGAATATTGCACATTTGGCGAGTATTGCCTGCAAGTAAGAGTCCTGCGCGCCCTTCCGTTTGCCACCTTGCACCGGCAAGCGTGGTCACCCGCCGTCCAAACGTCTCCCATTGCTCACGTGGTATATGGGGAGGACCTTTATCCAGCGTGAGAGTGCCAAAGGGGACTGGAAACTATCCAACAAAGAGAGCGATGCACTGTTTTGGTCCGTACACTTGTATGAAAAAGGACATGCAAAAGTATCAAAGTATTCACGGGAAATGTTACATTTTAAACGGCCACTTTTAGGTGTTGTTGTTGTTGTTGCATATTTTATGGTCCTTTCGGTAAAGTCACGAAGATAGAAAAATAACAATAAAATCATAAAAAATAAAGTGAATACTTACACAGATTGGCTAACCATGGCCACAATGCCATGATGACGAATCCTTCTAAATTATTGTATTTAGGCCCATTAATATTTTAAATCTGCCTCCAAAGAATATCATGAAGCAGAAGGTTAGTGCCGGATACAGTCACATTTGCTAATGTAATTTGTAACATTGATCCTCACCTGTGTAGCGATGTATGTATGTTGAGCTTAAGAATTGGTTTTACCCTTTCTGGCAATAAAACAGGTGTTACGATGTCAAAACACCAAACAGGAACCTTCTACAAGGAATCATGTCTGCGTATTTGAAAACTGGCAAAAAAGATCCCATGATATGTTGAACTTCTTTCGCACCATACGTAGGCAACCTTTCTTTTGAGGGACTGTGTGTTATCTTGGTGTGGTCTGGGCCTGTTTTTGTGTTGTTTTTTCTGCCTTGCCCAAGCTTGATAAATCGGACTTCTGTAATAAATGTAGTATTTATTTATATTTAGTGACTTGCTTGCATTTTTCTATATTTTGCACTCCTATCGTATTTTTGTGTTGTTTGTTGTTCTAACTTGCTGACCCGCCCATACTGGACATTCGTGAAAAAAAGCTTCATAGCTCATCGGATTCCTCCTCTAGTCTAAATATACACATTCTGATTTTGAATAACATGTAAGAAAGCAGCATGCCCTGCCAACCAGCAATCTACTACAGTTTGCACTTATTCCTGACAGCCACTGTAGCCAGTGGAGGGGAATTAAGCGTCAATAAGTGTCAATCATCTTTCTTCATAGCACATGTGCAATCGCATCACTGCCACGCAGCATTAAAATCCCCATAACAGAACAATGGTATTTTCGTTTTGTTTCACGGAGAACTGCATAACACCCCAAAGTCACGCACACCCACTCAGCTTGTGTCATGATGAACAGGAATGAGAATGAGGAACTGGGCTGAGAATGAGGAATTGGGCTGAGAATAAGGAAGAATAAGAAGAAACAGTCAACTAGCGCAGACACAACGTGCACGTGGAAATCTGAATGGAATCGTGAAATATCAGAACTTTAAAACAGAAATGCATTAAATAACACGATCTTTTGTGATACTACGTTGGCAGTGGTACGTATTCACAAATGACAACTCAATACATTTGTTAATAACGCTGCCATTAAAGTAAAAAAGTATATATTACGGAATGTTTTTGCCCAATGGCCCTTTCTCAGAGCACAAGTGCTATAAATAAGGGCAATTGTCAAAAACATTTCACATTATATATCTTTGTCTCCCCTTTTAGGGAAGAATTATCGACGGACATGTTTGATAAATCAGCACGAATCACCGAGACAGTTTCAAGGAAGATGCAATGTTGGAAGGTGGTGTGAGGTACGGTTTAAAAGCTATAGGGATTTAACGATTTATACCACTGATAAAGATTCTTCAGAAGCGGCGGCTCAGAGGCTCGGGGATTGGAGTGATGAGCTGGCAGTGCCGAGATCCCAAAATGTGAATCTGGGCAACCGCGCGCGATTAAGCTGGGTTCTTAGGAGTGGCACGGGAATGGTCTCGGTCTGGTCGCTAATAACTGCACAACAACAAAATAAACCGTAACACATTTGCGTTTGCTTTTAATTTGCCTGAATTCCAGCGAAAACGGAGTTTAAAATAATTGGTTTGATTCGTCACGCGGGCAAACAATCTTACAGCAGAATCTGTGCGAAAGCTCGTCCCCCTGTTGTGTTCATCATAGTCAGGCCACTTGGGGGACTTTTTAGGAGAAGTTGTGTAAACATCTTTTCCCGGGGGGGAGGGAGGGGTTCTCGATGTGAATGGAATCATTGACTTCTCAAATGAAATCAAAAGTTTACTTCTTTAAAGGCGCATTTGTTAAACCAAGGCGCCCGTACATACATTATCATAGAACTTTAAAATCGTACAATTTTAGGAGAATAATCAGGTGCATATAAAACTGTTGTGACATGGTGGAAATAACACAATTGTAATAAAGTGAGAGAAAAAAACCCCTCCAAAATCATAAAAGCGATAGATTATTGACAGAAACTATACCTGCATTAAATCATGTTTGTTCAAAAATCTAAAATAGGTTGGGTTCACATCATACATCCAGACACGAGAGGCCACTACATTCGCAACGATGTTAAAAAATAAAATAATTCTTGAATTGGAATCACGACCCTGAATCGTGACAATTCATTGAACCATCAGGTAAGTCAACCATTGATTTTGCATGTGTACTATTCAAACTATGCAATGCAATTTCTATAAGAACTATCTGGGGAGGGGATAGACTTTAAACACGAGAGATGCAACATTGTACCATTTAAGAAGTTTACTGATTTATACGACTTGCATGAAATGAATGCAAGTTGCTGCCGTGTAGATTTTAGCAGTTGTGCTGTCCAATACAGCTTGTCCAGGCGCGTTGTGCTTTCGGGCTGTATACCGCGTGCTGTTTGGCACCGACGTCCCACGTTTCACCGCACACGTGCTGGGAACTCCTTGCTGCATTCCTAAACAAGATCCCAGCACGTGGCCGCAAAACGTTAGACGCGAAGCCAAACAACACGCGTGCGGCACCCCCCCCCCCCCCCAAAAAAAAACACAGGGGCAGTACCCATTGTGATTAGATGAGCTCTGTAATTTCACAGTAATTAGATTAATCTGATATGCCGCGGATAATGGGAACACATTTTTCTGCTGTACATTAGATGGAATACGTCTATTCTTTCTCAGGTAATTGGCGTAAATGCACCGAGCCTCTTAATCCATAAATGATGGATCAGTGGCTTTAAAAGGTAGCGCAAAACACCGACGCGAACAATTGTCAACGTCACCTACGAGATACCCAAGCGTGCTCTCCCGGAGGAAGCTTGCCAAAAGTAAGTGTGATTTCATGTTCTTACCGCCGAATAACAAAACGACTGCATATATTGTAAAAGATAAAGGTGGAATTGCTTGTCCATGCCACTGTGGGTGGAAGGGCCACCACGACAGGGCGCTCGAGATCACCATTTCTCTGGCAAGATATTTGATTTAATATTGCTGGAAGGACAGCAGCGTAAATGCAAGATGTAAATTTGCATCTTACGCTTCATATTCGTAATTTATGGTTTACCTTTTGGCTGTGATGGGTGCGAGGTGCCAAGAGATGGCAGTGCAACATTGGATGCAGTCCACAGATAAATCTGGTCCACTCGCTGGATTGTCTGTGGATCGAATCCATCTGTGCAGCGCTTTGGAGTATAAATTCCCTCGTATGTTTGGGTTTTGTTCGGAGTTCCCTGGTTTCTTCTCGCTTATGAATGGTATTGGCCACACAATGCCAGACCTTCCTGAACAATGGAGTGTTGAGACTGATCGCAGAAACTAATTGACATTAGTGCAAGTAGAATATTTTAAGAATCCTATAAAAAGTTTTTAGACAAGAGCATAATGTTATAATAATAATAATATTAAACAATTATGGAAACGGTGTAAATTCCTCAAAGCAAATAACAGGGCAGATGATGGTGTCATTTTCTTGTATCCCACAAGTACATTTAGTGTTGAGTAAAAGCACAATCACTCCGTTAGCAGCAGCTAGTGTGCAACAATGGGATGTTACGTGTTCGGTGTCCAGGCTTGAACACGAAGTGAAGGTTAAGTGCTGTGTAATCGCTTGACGTTTTTCTTACCCTCTTGTTTTCTTGTTTTCTGGAAAAGAAGTACAAAGATGGGCAAACCGATGACTCTCTTGGCGATTTTAATCTGCACCAACCTAGCTCTCGTTTCCTCTTGCCCATACACATGCCGCTGCAATTTAACATCGATGGACTGCGCTAAAACATCCCTCCAAGTGTTGCCTTCGAGGATTCCTACAAATATAAAAAACATCCACATGGAAAACAACCTGCTGGATAATGTCGACGGCCACCTGGAAACCCATGAAAAGTTACTCTATCTTAACCTCAGCCAAAATCGCTTATCCCATTTTCCAAAAGGTCTGCCTGGGAGCCTTAAAGTCATTGACATGTCCAACAATCAAATATCGCAGATCGATTCAACCGCTGGTGCTGCTGACTTGAAATCCATTGAAGAGCTTTATCTTGATAACAACTTGCTCACCAAGATCCCGAGTGGGCTCTTCAACAGGCGTTCGAAGCTGCGCTTGATAACTCTGCATGGAAACCCGTGGGCATGCGACTGCTCACTTCTTTATCTCCAGAACTGGCTCGGGAGCCATCCCGGTGTTGTACTCGATGAGCCGGTTTGCATTGAGCCACCGGACTTCAGTGGAGTGAAACTTCTCTCCATCCCTGCCTGGCAGCTGTGCTCGCCTCTGGCGCAGAATGCCAAGCTGCCTGATAACTCTGGGCCAACGATGCGGTTCCTCCGTTCCATCTACGACATGAGAATAACTGCCAACGGGACAAATGCCCCTTCTACTCCTTCGACCCCTGTTGTGCCAACAACGAATCAACAAGCGGGTCCGCTGACGGCTGGTGAAATCGCAGCCATTGTCTTGGGCATCTTGGGACTGTTAGCGATTGCTTTAATTGCTGTACTTTTTCTGGCTGCAAGAAATGGAATTGCATTTTGATTGCGATAAGTTTGCCATGAGATAATGACACGTGCATATTAGTGTTCAGTACAATGTGGTGGGATGCATTATACATATAGATATATAGTATGTCGGTTTTGCATTTGTACTGGAAAGTTCCCCCAATGTGTTTTGGTTATGCCACGTTCTTGTTTGGCACGATGTTTTGGTGAATCGGTATCCGATGAATCTCCCAGCACACAGAGCGATTTTATCAGACATTGTGCCAAACAAAACGTAGTACGGCTAACCTGAAAACACATTGGAGAGGCATGTCACTTGACAATAGGCTTGAAACTTTGTCAAAACGCAAATATATAACAATTGTGTTCTTCATATATCCAGTCTTAACACAGCTTTTATAGAGGGTACTGCATGACGTTGTTTGGCAAAATTCCATTATTGAGCGCTGGGCATATGGTAGGAAAGCAGAGGTATATGGGTAAAGATTCAATCCATACGAGAAGGTAACACTCAAAGCTTTGGCAAGCTGGATTCAAGAATCCATTGCTGTACACTGACATCCTCTGGACACCTTGTAGTCCAAACCTACAGCACCTGATATTTCCAGGCAGTAAAGTCCTAAACCAGGCAAAATACCTGCTTAGCTTTTTTATTATATAGGAAGATCATAGGCAAGGGCGAGAGCGTCAAACAGGAATAAGCGGGCTGCATCGATCTTGTTTAAATGTCTCAGCTTCACACAACTATTGGCCATTGAATGACTTAAGTGCATTAATTACGCGGTTTACAATGTTTAAAGATTCGGTATGTGGTCTGTTCATCGTTATAGTTTTCAAATATTTGACGCTCACTCCTTGTTAAAGGTCTATAGTAAGGGTCCCCAACCCTGGGTCGTGGACCGGTCCGTGGCCTGTTAGGAACCGGGCCGCACAGCAGCAGGAGGTGAGGGCGGTGAGTCCGCGCGTGGAACCCGCCCCCATTGTTTTATTTACCACTTCCATCCGCGCCTCTTTCCCGCACTGCGCACTTGTCTCAGTCACAGTGTTGGTGAGCCCACAAGCTCTAACCCCTAGTAGCCACAATGAGTAAAAAAAAAACGTCGCTGGAGAGCTTCTTTGAAAAGGGGAAAAAGACCCAATGATGACCACCCCCTCCCCCGGTCCGTGAAAAAAATTGTCTTCCATGAAACCGGTCCCTGGTGCTAAAAAGGTTGCGGACCGTTAGTCTATAGAATTGTACAACTCCGAAATTAGCTTGGCTTAAAAATTACAATTTAAAATTTAAAGAGGGTTATTCACACTCACATCGTTATTCAATACATTGATTACAGCCATATGAAATGTATTCATTCCATCACGTGCATTATTTAAAATGTGTGTTATTGCACACCATTGAAAATAAGCTTTATGTTGACCGTTGGAGTGAAATTTAATGAAATAGACAATTGCGTGAAATACCACCATTTATTATCTTGTTCTTGTAACCATGGCTCTCCTACACGTATTACATTAAATTGTCTCGTTACTATGACATTAACAACGGCTAATTCAACAGCTGATTATGTTATCACGGTTGCGCTGTACAGCTCCCCGATCTGTTTTCACGCTCGCTGGACTGCACGTTGTTTGGCACGATGACCGACGTTTCGTGCCTGGTGGTGCTGCAGTGAACTTCATCAGGAACCGAGCAGCGAAGTGCACGCTCTCACGCGATGTGTTTCATTTTATAGTAGTCACCGCTGCTTGTGTTTACGATTCACTTCCTGACCAAGCTACCAGCACGAGGTGCAAAATGTCAGACGTCGTTCCAATCAGCACGCAAGGTAACCTGTATGTAAATTAAGACCGCAGATTCTGAAAACTGTACCTGCATGGGTAATTATTTATATATATTTCATATACGTGTATATGGTATGTGACGTATCTTACATTTTATTTGGAAAGTGTCAATAAAAAAGCAATAATCCAATGGCATTGTCAAAGTTCATTTCTATTACGTTGAGTTGCTTTTAAAAATAACCAGCTGTTTAATGGCACGCGTTTTAAGAGGCAACTTTTACATCGCGAAAATGAAATATTTATTTATTTGATAAACAAATAGTCTGCTGCAATTTTATTTTCTCGTCAGTGGTGTATGTGTGGCAATGCACAAATGCTACTTTTTTTTTTATCAGACCATCGATCCACACAAACTATACGAAAACCATACTCGCACAATTGCACGCCTCAACGCAGCCCATCCTTGTGAATGTGATCCCATCTGAAATCACCAATAAATATCGATAACAAGTATCGGACTCGGCATGCACGCCTTATGTGTACACGTCGCAAAGTGTCGTGTTCTCCCATTCTTAAAGAAAAAAAAGCTAAAACATGCAACTATTGTGTGCCACCACTGGAAACATACGCTTGTGAACGAACTGTTTTAACGGTGATGACCTTTTGATAAAAAATGTTTTTGTTATCAGCTTTGTCAGCTGTGCACCGTGCACATGTGTACAGACAAAACCGACTGCGGGAAACACGTGCGCGTTTATTATCGTGAGAGCGAGGAGCGATTAGCGTGCACGGCCTCGATATTGCACTCGTGTCAGAGGTCGCAAACGGGTTTTGATTCCTTACCCGTACCCGTACCCGGCCGCACCAGGGTCGCAAACGGGTACCCGTACCCGGCCGTACCCGTACCCTACCCGTACCCGGCCGGGTACGGGTAGGGTACGGGTATCGGGTACCTGATTGCGACCTCTGGGATGAAGCCATGTTGCAGGCGCGGGTGGGTTGATTCTAGGAACTTGAATTGTGAGAAGAGACAAGACGTTGGGAAATGAGTGACAAACTGTGACTCACCGTTGACTCACGTCTTTCCGTACCCGTACCCGGCCGCACCAGGGTCACAAACGGGTACCCGTACCCGGCCGGGTACGGCCGTACCCGGCCGGGTACGGGTAGCCGGGTATCGAGTAGGGTACGGGTATCGGGTACCCGGTTGAGACCTCTGACTCACGTGCTGAATCCTGTATTCATGACGCAAAATAGATATTTATTTATTTCAAAAAAGAGCTTTTGTGCAACGATTTTTACAACTCTAGGATGGCTTTTGGTGCCCCTCGTCTATGCCTCCCGATGAAACAAGCCGAACACGAACACTGAAAAGTTCACAGACGCGTATATACACGGAGGACACATGCTCTACTGTGGACGAGGCAATTGTGTGTGTATTTATATTCAGCTTATACATTATCCACATGCCTGGTAAGTCAGGACACACCTGAGAGACTGGCCATCGTGGACAGGGAGCGATGAGGTCAACTCGTGAGCGGGAGTCGGATGGATCGTGACATCTCAAGACTGGAATTTGATGGCAACGACGTATGGAAGGCCTTCATCCAGCATCGGATAAAACCTGGCTGGTGACCAACAGAAGAACAGTACGAAATGCGTTTTGCCAAGGCCGTACACAGCGATGTGCCGCTATACCGCATTAAATTTAACCAAAACGCAAAGCGCTGATACTATGGCCAGCTTTAGGCAAAAGGATGCGTGCACAGTGAGCGTCTTTATACGATGGCTGTATTTTCAAGTATTGCTGTAACGTTTATTTCTAATTGGTGTATCATCATTTGTTCACGCTAGCGAATGTAGGGAACGTATCACGTGATTGTAAATCATTGCACATATATTCCGATACTTTTTTCTAATTCTAAAAGGTAAAATAGTGAAGTTGAAATTATGCTGCTGTACTGTAATATGTATCGTGGCCCCAGGACATGTCCTGTGGCGCCAGGATATTAGCATTTCCAAAATGACCCTTTCCTAAACAGATTTTATCAATCTCTTCAGCATTTGACCTTTCGAAAAATAGAATCTGCAATAAATACGATCTTATGAAGATACTAAATGCAGCGAACTAACTAGTTTAACACGTAGGCTTTCACGAACAATATCATCCATAATAGAGGGTTTTTTTGGGGTTAGAGCGCGTACATATATAAATATGTCGTTAAAACCCGCCACCACCCGACACAGCCAACTAGTAAGGGTTGTCACGTTCTGTCACGTTCTGTTTACGTGACAACCCTTACTAGTTGGCTGTGTTGGGTGGTGGCGGGTTTTAACGACACATGTTTCCGCGATCTAACCCCCCAAAAAAACCTCTTATGTAGGATGGATTATTGAACTTATAGACACTGATATAATCACACATGCTTCCAAGAGACACAGTCAAATGCACAGTGGCTAATGTTAAGGCAGCCTGACTGGAGTGGTGTGACTCAAATGACAATCGGAATTTTTGAGGGCTGTTTTAGAGAACGCATAGTCTGTTGTACAGAAATAGTAGCGTGAAATGTGAGTAGGAAAAACAATGCCATTAAAAAAATGTAAACATGTGGTGGAGTGATGGCACTGTGGTTAGCACACTGCACTATCAAACCCGGCGACTTGGATTTGATTTTAAGGTCCACTCAGCCTTGAGTGAGCACCTGGAGTGGTGTCTAAACATCAGTACTGGGAAGACAAAGGTGGTCAAGCGTGGACTTTGCCACATCACTTTCTCGTGCACGATGCTGGCCTGATTAGGTGTTCGCAAACAACACATGTGTGATTATATCGGGTAATTTTTTTATTATTTTTATTAACGCTATACGGGAGATGGTTGTCTTTGCGCGCTTATCTGACCAAGTCCGTGAATGTCACAACTGTCTCGCGAAGGGCATCGTGAACCTCAGGCTCTGAGCCAGTGGTGAACATTACACATTGCTATGGCTGGAGCCAATATATCAATATTGCTGCAACCCTTGCCTTCCACCAAGCGATGCTATTCAATTCATCCAAATGACTGCGTATTATATTTAGAATGACATTTATTGTTTATAGCTCTTCGTCAATCTACTGCTGGATGAAGGCATTCCTATTGCATGCCATTCATAGGAGTTGTTTGACCATACTTCACCACGCTGGACAAAGCGGGTTAACGTGGGAGCCTCGCACTGATTAATATTAATGAAGGGCGGATGTCAATTTTAATGACGCGTTACTTAACGCTTTCGCTAAATTCTCAAAGAATTCGTATAAAATACCCACTGGAAATGCCGTGGTGTTGTGACTTGCAATGCAGAGGTCGCCGGCGGTATGAATGTATATGTACGTTGAACTTCTTTGGCGCCGTACATAGCCAACCGTGCTAATCGGAGGTGTTGGGGAATCAACTCACTGTTTCGATTTAAAGCTTTCGTGACTGCAGGGATTCATCTTCTTGGTTCTTTCGGTAAAGTCACGTAGAAGGGAAGTTGTGGCCGAAACGTCGTGAGAATTATTTTATTATGTTTTATTTTTATTATTTTATTACTTCCCTTCTACGTGACTTTACCGAAAGAACCAAGAAGATCAACTCCCTGTGTACGCCACAGTTGATTTAGCAGTTTGCGTATGGTGCGATAAAGTGTGGGTACTCTCCCACGAAATTTGGCCAATGTGGAAGAGTAGGCCGAACACCTGGAGGAACTCCCTAGAGCTTCCTCCAGCAGAGGCCTATTCAGCAGCAGTGGCGCGCGCAAGCAATTGCAGGGCTGTCCCTCTACCTTCACCTGCACCGACTAAAAAAAATGCACACCGGGGGCTTAAGGCAAGGCAAATATTTTCGTCGG